CAGAATCCTTTTTATTGTCGTTATTTATACGCTTCCATACACACAACAAAACTACAGTCAGAAGTCTCGGCTTTCAGCAAAAAGCAAAATGACATAAATAGACTTCTGAGAAAGTAAAAACACAAAAATACTCAATATACATATCTGAACTTATCGTATCCTGTCTGGTCTCATGTCATCTCATCTTATCTGATCTTATCTTAACTTAACCCGACAGGCATTTTATTTAACCCTATTCAGGACTTTCATGTTTCCAGACATAGAAGGTCTTTCAGGGTCCATTGGACCCCAAGAAAGAATATGTGCAAAATATCTGTTGGTATTCATTATAGACTTTTATACTATGTTAAATACATTTTCTGATAAATTGACGTAGTTTTGGTTCCAAATGCACGACAAATGTCCCTCTTTTTATATATATAAAAAAATCTTCAAAAATAAAAAACAACACCTGCCACCTAAACCAAATGGCCTGGGGTCCAAAAGACCCCAAAAGCCCTGAGTAGGGTTAACATGGTGTCTTTGTCCTGTTCAGTCTTTTCCACTGCAGGTACATTTCACCAGGGATCAAAGACACTTTGGAGGATTTCAGGACCTTCACCTGTATTCCAGCTCTAAGTGTCCAAGTCCCTGCTTCCATGGCAGAACTCAGTGACGAGCATCACTGGTTGTTCAAACCCCGACACCGTCCGTCGGTGGTGACCTTTACAGAACAAGGAAGCACAGAGTAAAGGTTCGCTGTCATTTTTCTCAAGAATTTCCAAACAGACGCAGCAGAGAGACTGGTAGGAATCTGCAACCCAGAGCTTTCAGTTCCCACTTTCAATTCTGATCTATTTTATCAAAACAAAACTAAAAGATACTACGAGCTGCTAATAATAAACATTTCCTTTCACCCTGTTGGCTTGTGGCATCGATCACAGCCGTCGTTTTTCTCATGACTGACTGACCACCTCATATTTGTCCCATTTTATTTTTCTGTGCGTTTGTATGTTATTTAGTGAAACGTGTAACATCGATTTTTGCATCAGTTTCTTGGCACTAATCTGTGGAGTAATGTGTAAAGTGCCATCACTTGAGTAATGATGTAACTAGAGTCCTGACATTTTGCAGGTTCACTGATATGTGCATGTGGTCGTCAATGGTGCAGCCCTGCTTGGATAAAA